CCAGCAAGCTGACAGGGGAAGACGATCAGTTACAGGGGAAAGAGAGGCTTATACAAATGATCAGCAAACAGATACAGTAATATTTTCCCTAAGAGTTGCCATTTTATCATCTGAACCTCAAAACCAATCTAAATATACTGTATGTCTTCCTGTCTTTCAACTAAAAATAACAAAAACAACAGAAAATAACAAAACCTAGACAAGCTAGACAACGTATTTGGGCATCATTGGCACATGTCTGATATACAGTATGTAACATTTTGTATAAGGCACACATTAAGGGGATGCTATTGAGTAAATGTGTATTCTTTCTTTCATTAAAGGTTTACTCTATGAAATGGATATGCTTCATTTTGAAATAACTGTAATTCTGACCCCAATTCAATCACCATTATTTGTCTGTACTGTAACTGTTTGCAGAAAATTGTTGCAAAAATCTGTTCATTATTTGAATGAGCTACTACTTTCTTTCTTTGGCAACAAACTGAAATGTAATTAAGAGTGCATAGAGATTGCTCATTTATCAAACAGAATCAGTTTTGTATTTACCCGGTACAGCAGTCCCTGCAGGAGCCAGCGTTGGAAGCTTTGCTGTGGAACAAACACATTAGTTCAAATCAAGCATGACATAATATGTGCTTCATGGCATTTGGTGGACTAAGCCTATTTGTTGTACCTGGTTTTCCACTTGGTGCAACGGGCAGACCAGTACCTCCAGGAACACCGATGCCAGTGCCACCCGGTACGACCACCACGTCACCACCAGGTGTTGCTCCAGGAGCTGCTATTCCAGTTCCAGTGATCCCAGCGCCTAGCAGACAATGAGAAGAAGTGCATCAGGTGGAATCCATTATGCTGCATTACCTTATTAAAAGGCAGGTAAACACAGGTTTAAATGAAGCAGCTTGTTAAGAAATATATGAAGCTAATATATGAACTACTGTACCAGTTTTAGGAGGTTTGACTCCACCAGGATATCCTGAAAACATTCAAATGAGTCTTATTGATTGCTGGTGATTATTATCTCACATTGATAGTGACCTGATCATGGGTCAGTTGAATCAAGTACCTCCAACCCCGGCTCCTGGTATCAGTCCCGTCCCAGTTCCAGGCAGTGGCACTCCTGCTGCACCAGGTACTGTACCTGCTCCTCCTGCAACTCCTGCAGGCAACCCATGTCACCATTCATATCGTTACCACATAGTTTGCACTAACATCTCCTTTACTACAGTTTATTATGATTCTTTTGAAAAAATGTACAGGCAGCTGCTATGGCTAGTAATTTTGGTAACACTTTAGATTAGGGGACACATATTCACTATTAAATATTAAGAGTTTTCCCTCAATACACGTTTAATTTGCTGCTTATTGGGAGTAAGTAATGTAGTTGTTGTAATAGTTATGTTTAGGTATGGGGTAGGGTTAAGGGATCTAGAATATGGACATGCATTAATATGTGCTTTATAGCAACTAATAAACAGTCAATATGCAAGTAATATGCATACAATATTTTATTGTAATCAAAAGAATGGTCAGTTTTTCTAAATTTTCTATTAAATGTTCATAATTTTGCTGGTCAACAAACAAATGTTTTATTTTTTTTTCTATAATCAAATTAATGTATTGAAGTTCATAAAAATATTGTAATAGACATTATGTAATTGAGGTATATTTTCACGAATGGTTACTTGCATTTCTACATGCATCTTTGGTAGAAATAATTAAGTTTTAACAATTTTAATTTGCCCTAAATAGGCAGTGTCCTAAACTACTCATATATTTATATCATGAGTAGGCTGTACACCTCCAGTGAATATGATTTCAGATGTTTTTCAAAAGAGCTATTCATTTGTTTTGGTGTAAACATTTAATAAATATAAAAAACCTAAATATAAAATCTTAAAATACTTTTTTAGATAGACATACAAAATGTTCTCTCACCATATTTCGGAGGTTTAACTCCTGCTGGATACCCTGCAACACCATAAATTAATTTAAGAGAATAATCTTTTAGTTCACAATTTATGATTTATAATGCTTGCTTAATTGTTATGAGAATTTAGTCAAATTTAAATCTTTTAAATGTAAGACTTTTAGGATTTAAGCACAAGTGAACTGTAATTTTAATGTCTTAAATAAATGGCGCAACTGTATATATAATAAAAATACCTCCAGGTACACCTCCAGGTACTCCACCTGGTACTCCACCGGGTACTCCACCGGGAACACCTGCCCATGGATGAGATTTGTCATTAAAATCACGACGAAACAGAAATAGTGACAGATCTGTTTTTCCGTAATGCACATCCAAGTGTAGTGGACTATGATAAAATAGAGCGTGGTTTGGTTCTATGCCTTGGATGTTGATTGGATGTTGATTTGTGAGCGTGGTTCTCAAAAGAAAGATGAAAGAGATGAGTGTGAGCTTGCAGGAGTGGAGTTTAAGAGAAATCCTGCATACGTCGCTAGAGAAAATCCTGGTCCTATGAACCTACTGCTCTAAACATTTTGTATGTCTTTTTTTTATCTGACACATTCAGTTCAGTTCATGGAACTCTCTCCTAATGAGATGATGATCAGAATCAGTTTTTCATTAACAAAGACATAAAAAATGTTCAGATTGGTGGGTCTGGATTTGAGTTATGACATTTTGATTAAAAATTTAATCAAATTTGTTTTCAATTTGAGAATGTCAATCATTCATAATAAGGTCTATAACCTGCATTTATAAAAACACATTTTCATTTCATGCCAACCTTTATTTCAGTTTAGAGCAGGGGTAGGCAAGAGTTTAGTGCCAACCAAACACACCTTAACTAGTTAATCAGGGTGTTCAGGATTATTGGAAAATAACTGGCAGGTTTGTAGGAGCAGGGCTGGAACTGAAGTCAACAAGAAATTAGCTCTCCAGGAGCAGGATTGGAGACCCCTGGTTTAGAGAGTTTCTGTAGTATATTGAAACTCCTATTTATTATAAAAATTAAAAATAATTACCATATTTAGGTGGTTTTGCCCCAGTCCCATATCCTGTGAAAATATGAAATCTGCTTTTACTTTGGGTAAAAAAAGCATCTATACAAATACACATCTGAGAAAATCTATCCATCATTCTGTGACTGGCGAGAAATCATCCACTTCTTTCTGCTGGACCTGTCTGGGACCAGTTCCTCGCTACTGTCTGAATATCATGGGAATTGAACCCTGCTGGTTTGAGTTCTATTGTACCTCATATTTTTATCTTTTCAGAATACCTTAGAGTGAAGGGGTTTCTTAGTCGCATCAGTTAACTACTGGTGTACCTCAGGGTCTGGTTCTTGGCCCCCTCCATTTCTTGATATACACAACTACACTGGCACCTATCATCCAGGTAGATTTTTTTTCTCATAACATAAAGACATGCAGTCTTATGATCACAAAGTGACTGCATCTTTACTTGCCTCAGCCTGGATTCAACTACACCATCTCCAACTAGTGCTCCAACTACACCAACTCCAGCTGAAGACTGAGCTTCTGGTCTTCCTGGCAAGTCCAGTGCAACACCATCATTATTCATCTAGTCTCATCAACAATATGAGGTAGCTTTACTACAAAAGGAAGATCAGACCCTTCCTATCTGAAGATCCTACCCTTGCTATGCAGCGGTGCATTTGAAGTTCAGTGAACCAAAGAGAGAGACTGCATGTTATTCCTCGTCTCACTACATGGGATACCATTCTCTGTCTGCATCAAGTCAAGGCTCGGCTGCATAGCTACTAACTTGTATATTTCTGAGCAAGTTTAGAACACGGCAAGAATTACAGCACATCATGTTGTCTCATCAGGGTTAATGTTGTATTGTACTGGCTGTATATTTGGAAATGTAATATTTTACCTCCATATCCAGTTCCTATTCCAACTCCACCTGGGACTCCACCAGCTCCACCCAAACCTGATGACAACAATGACAGAAGGAAGGACATGTTATCATAACTTGTATATTCTGGAGCAATGGAATATCATTAAACGTTGCAGGGCATTAAAGTGCCACATGTTTTGATAAAAGTAGACAAGAGTGAAAATGAAAACATGTTCAGCAAAATGATCTGATTAGATATTTTAAAGAGTCACGGACTCTTCAAAAGAGGTCCATTCTCTAACTGCCAAACTAAAAAATATGTATTGGAAAATGTTAGTAAACGAAAATTTTATAAATGAAAATTTATTGATAAACCATTTCCAAATCTCAAGTCTATAATTGCTCCTTAGAACTTGCATGTCTACCCATTTTTACTAGTCAGCCGACAAAGGTAGTCAACAAACCATCTTATACGTCTGCAGCGGAACTATAGTTTGCTTATACTGCTTCAGTTTTACTTTATTTCCACTTTATGTAATTCCTAATGTCTAATTTGCTGATTACAAATCACAAACATTCCACAGAACTAAACAAATAGTGCTGATTTGCACACCTGTATAGTTTAAGAGGTTCATTTGTTACATCTGGACCTAATAATCGGGCCCCAGTTCCATTCCCATAGACTACAAAACAAAAAGTGGTGCCAGTTCTTTCACAGCAGCAAGCTTATTTTGAGTAAAGCAACATATTAATAAGACAAACATGCTTGGTCATGGTTTCAGTCCATTGAACATGAGCTACATTTTTAAACATTTTCAAACATTTTTAAACATTCAAGAACAATCTGTTTCAAGGAACATGTTTACAGTACACAAATTGATTTATGTCTTCAAAGCCAAAAGTAATTTAACAGGCTTTTTGATTTGGGGTTGCAACAGACTCTTCAAATATTAAATAGAAAAATGTTTGTACATGGCTAGGCAAAATCAAAAACAGTGTAAACCAGGAAAAATTACTGAAGAAAAAAAAAAGAAAGAAATCCAAGCAGTCTCTAAATGAAAACTGTTGATTACCTAAATTCAATGTCTTATAATGTCTTATAAATAATGTCTTTTGTTTTTTGTTTTAATAAGCATATTTACTCACAATATAAAGAGCTGTTATAGTCATTATAGCTCTGCTCACTGAAAGGCATTTTTGCTTACCTATTCCAGGCACAACACCAGTCCTACCTGGTAAACCACCACCAGCACCCAAACCTAGACAAATAATTTTTATTTAGAGCAGTAAATTCAATGTTACTAAGATCTTGCTTATATATATATATATATATATATATATTGCTTATATCTATATATCTATATATAATCAATGAATACAAATACCATATTTTAGAGCCTTGGCACCAGCAGGGTATGCTTAAACACAGAAATATGAACAGTTGAGCAAAAAACAAAAAACATTAAAAAAAAACACATGCTGAGGTCCATACATTTTAATCCAAAATTTCAAAAAGAGGTTTAAAATAATTAACATTTCTAACATGTCATATAATATTTTGCCTTTTACATTTCATCATGCTTTTATGCAGAATGAATGATGCATTTATATAGCGCTTCATTGTGTATTGCTGTACACCCAAAGCGCTTAACAATCATGTGGGGGGATCTCTCTTCAACCACCACCAGAGTGCAGCATCCACCTGGATCCAGCCACAGTACCAGAAGTGCCATGGGATTTTTAACGACCACAGAGAGTCAGGACCTCGGTTTAATGTCTCATCCGAAGGACGGTGCTTTTTGACAGTATAGTGTCCACGTCACTATACTGGGGCATTAGGACCCACACAGACCACAAGGTGAGCGCCCCCTGCTGGCCTCACTAACACTTCTTCCAGCAGCAACCTAGTTTTCCCAGGAGGTCTCCCATCCAGGTACTGACCAGCTCAACCCTGCTTAGCTTCAGTGGGCAACCAGTCTTGGGCTGCAGGGTGATATGGCTGTGGATGTAACAGTGATGTAACAGAATGAAACAGTGATACCTCCTGCTCCAGTTATTGGTACTCCTCCTGGTACTCCTCCGGGGACCCCCAAACCTGTTCCTCCAGGCACTCCTGAGGCCACAATAGCTTAATTTTTGACTGGACAATACCCTACCAACAATCCTTTATTTAAGTACAGCTTAATAAGTCAAATGTTTTTTTATTATAATGTCAACACAAAGCTCTATTACAAAATCCCAGTGCAAATGGCTAAATAAAAAGCACAAACAATTGGATTTATCTTACATAGCATTACCAATGCACCTAAATCATAGAAAATTGTCAGACCCATACCATATTTAGGAGGTTTGGCGCCAGCTCCTAACCCTAAAAACATTTATCACTATTACTAAACATCAACCCAAAATAAACTATAATGAGAAACAAAATTAGCTTAAGAAATTGAGAGACAGTTGAACATATTCAGACCTCCAGCCCCAGGCACAGCTCCAGGAACTCCTCCGAACCCAGCAACAGAACCATAGCCTGGGACAACACCAGCCCCTCTTGCTCCTCCTACAGACATGACATGTGCAGCCATGCAGTGTCAATTTATTTCTTTTGATTTTATTATAACATACAAGATGTTCAGTAAAAGTGATCTGAAAGTGCTATTTTAGAATAATAACACTTTCTACCTAACTATCCCAAGTACTCCACTTGTACTGACTACTTGTTGAAAGTTATACTTTCCTTATCTTACTCACTCTTTGAAAAATACCATGGCAAACTATGTTTTTTCATATATATAACACTAATGAACATGCTAGCAAGACTAAAACACTAGCAGCTTGCAGCACCAAGTTCTTGCTATTGTCCAGACTCCCCAGCCTACTCAAACCTGTCCTGTACATGCAGTGTCTGAATCAAAAAGTCATGCACCTATAAACCATAACTGGAAGAGAATTGCAAGCAAAGGTGTTAAACTGTTTTTTTCCCTTTTTTTTGTGTGTTCGTCCGCACTACATTATTAAATCACATTTACACCTGAAAGATGTGTAAAAGCTCTTACCATATTTAGGAGGCTTCACTCCACCTGGATACACTAAAAAATAATTTGTAAAGTAATTTCTATAATTATTATTTCATGAACTTTGTCCAAAATATTAACACTTCATTATTAGCAACATTTTCACATTATAACATGAACTGTAGGTTTCATCAGATGCAATATTAATGTAGTGTAAAACTCACCTCCAGCCCCTGGTGCTGTTCCAGGAATTCCCCCGGCTCCCCCCACTACTCCACCAACTGGTGCACCTTTTCAAAACATTTTAATAAAATAAGCAGCAAACCAATCTACTACTTTGAAAAATGCCCCTGGGATATTAAAATCCATTCAGTCACTTCTGAGTCACTTGATCTTAAGGGCATGTAGTATGTATGTATGTATGTATGTATAATGGCCAATTTTGGAACCAAGAAGCACCATCATAGGCAGAAGAGATTGCATGACCAAAATGTAAAACTGATGTTTAGGTGCATGTACATGTGAAATCAGATACATCTGAAATCTGAAGACAAAGCACAGTGTACAGTTGTACTCATGAGCCTCTTTTCCACTGTCGGGTCAGTGCGAGCCAGGGCTAACAGTATGCCGGGCGGGGCCAATGGCCTCGAGCCACAAGCACCAAGGCCAAAAGCAAGCTTTGTTTCCACTGTCGAGCCAGTAGCCCCGCAGCGCAAACCTAAAGCCTTTACACACCTCCTTGGATCAAACGTCACAAAACCCCTCCCCTTTCAGCGGGAAGAATGAACATTATTCAGGTAGGGCACTATAGTGTCATCATCGAACGAACAACATGGAGAGAACCGAAGCAGCTGTTTGTTTGCTCCTTTAGGTGTTTTCTTGGTCGAAGATGAGGCAGCGAAGCCAAGATGCGATGATGGAGGCTCAGCCATGGAAATGGTAAATGTTGTTCAATTACAAAATATAGTTAATTATTGTTATCTTATATTTGATGCGACCCTAACCTGATAACATATAACTTAGCCCTATGAGATATAAGTAACATGTAACATAAGTAACATGAGTTGTTTTGATTATTGTTCTTTAACGTAAGCTTAAGCACTTTACTGCTCAAAAACAGATGTTTTGCTAGCATGACATCACATAATTAGAGAAGTAATGTTAGCCATCCATTGAACTATTCTTCGGATAGTACATCTGTTTATACATATATGTTTAAACATTTATGTTAATATAGATCTTTATGATAATTAGTGCAGTAAAGCATACCTTTCATTGTAGTATTTTTCTGATGATTCAGTACATCTATTTATACATGTGTATGTTAATATACAGATATTTAACATGACTAGGGAAGTATTGTTTACGTTTTATATTATTATCTTGCAAATGATGGATCTATGTATATGTTTTGACATTTATATTCATATGTAGATCTATAACAACTAGATAATTAATGTTTACCTTTCATTCTATTATTTTTCAGATGATGCATCACTACTACACCAATATAATGCGGACCTCAGAGGTGTGGGCCTATCACCGAACAAGGGACTGGTGGGAGATCACTGCTCAAAGATTCACAGATGAGCAGTGGCTAGAGGACTTCAGAGTTTACAGAGAAACATTCAGAAACATTTGTACAACTCTGAGGCCTGCACTACAGCGACAAGACACATCATACCGGTTATGCATTCCTCTGGAGAAACGGGTAGCCATTGCATTGTATAAACTTGCTTCAACCATGGAGTACAGGACAGTCGCTAACCTGTTTGCTGTCAGTCGGACCTCTGTTTGCCACTGTGTGCATGACTTTTGCAAGGCTGTGATTGCAATACTTCGCCCAAAATTTATCAAAACACCTGATCAAGCCCAACTGTCTGTGATGGCAGATTATTTTAAGGAGAGGTTTGGAATTCCACTGTGCGTGGGTGCTATTGATGGTTCTCACGTCCCTATTTTGAAACCTCCACAATACCAATCTCAATAGAAAAGACTGGCACTCCATCATTTTACAAGCAGTTGTAGATGGCAAAGGGATGTTCTGGGACCTGAATGTTGGACAGCCAGGAAGGGAACACAATGCTAGCGTCCTCAGAAAGTCACGCCTTTGGACTTGGGCCTCAGACAGTAATGCCTTCTCTGGCAGAGTAACAAATATTTGTGGAACTGATGTAGGCTACTTTATTCTTTGTGACTCTGCTTACCCATTGCAGAAATGGTTGTTAAAACCATATCCTGACACTGGCCGGCTTACAGAGGGTCAAGAACTATACAACGTGAGAACAAGTCGAGCCCGTTGTGTGGTTGAGCATGCATTTGGGAGGTTGATAGGATGGTGGAAGTGTCTCAGTAAAAGAAATGACTGCAATGTAAATGTTGTTGTTGATATGGTGGAGACATGTTGTACATTGCACAACCTGTGTGAATTATACATGGCTAGATTTGTGCCAGAGTGGGGTGGTGGCCGTGATGAAGATGCTGAATGCCCATCTTGTTATGTTGGTGATGTCCGTTCTGATGTAAGAAGTGCTCTGCTACAGTTGTTCATGCAACAGCAATATTTGTAAGACATCATTACATTGTGTGTGCTACAAATAAATTACTTGAAAAGAAGCTTTGGTTGTCTGTTTTTATGACCTACACACAAATCTTTCATCCAACTGGTATTACATCAAACAAAATCATTTCAATAATACAATAATACACACTACATTGCCATCATACTATCTACAGACTATTGAAAACAAATAACTACACAGTTCTACTTCTAGTATAACTTTTTTCATGTCTTTATTTATTGCACAACCTGTGTGAATTATACATGGCTAGATTTGTGCCAGAGTGGGGTGGTGGCCGTGATGAAGATGCTGAATGCCCATCTTGTTATGTTGGTGATGTCCGTTCTGATGTAAGAAGTGCTCTGCTACAGTTGTTCATGCAACAGCAATATTTGTAAGACATCATTACATTGTGTGTGCTACAAATAAATTACTTGAAAAGAAGCTTTGGTTGTCTGTTTTTATGACCTACACACAAATCTTTCATCCAACTGGTATTACATCAAACAAAATCATTTCAATAATACAATAATACACACTACATTGCATCATACTATCTACAGACTATTGAAAACAAATAACTACACAGTTCTACTTCTAGTATAACTTTTTTAATGTCTTTATTTAGGTACAAATGTGTGTGTTAACGTTATTAAGGTTTGTCGGTTAGTGTTTTTTTTTTTGACGATGTAAAGCAGTTTATATAGAACCTTATTTGCCTATGACCAAATTTAAATAAGAAAAGACAAAAGGTACTCATCAGACATGCATTTAAATAATGTTCCCATCACTATGCGTAGTTGTCTTTAACAATAGCTGATAGTGTAAATCATCACTCTTACTGAATAGGACCTGATTTACACAGGAAACAAAAGGCGCCCATCAGATAGCCATGTAAGTAATGTGCTTATCAAAAAAGCATAATTGTCCATATCAATATCTGCATGATAGTATAAGTGATTCTATTTGAATAGGACCTTTTTTGAATAGCAATGAATAAACAGTTTGTAAATTTGAGACACAAAGTCTTGTAGATTTTTGTGCACTCACTTTTACTTTTATCATATTGGCATTTGCTAGTTATTAAAATCAAAAGCTTTATGTTCTGACATGAGTAAGTGCACCGTGAACTGACATGGACTAACAAAAATTAATGACTATTTTTATTAAGTAACATTAATATTCAATTCACATTCCAGGGTCTAAATATCACGTTATTGGTGTCGCTTCAACCTGCTGACATAAAAAACAACCAGCGGCAATCGCAGATTTGGCAACACTGGTCCGCATACTACGTTTCATATAACTCCTCCCCGAACTTCCCGCTGCCCTGCCCGCCCAATTACTACTCAAAACTAGCCTGAAAATAGCCCAATTGCTTTCGAGGGGGTCCCCCAGTAAAAATCGCATTTGGGGGCTAAAATAAACATTTTTTTGGTGGGGTTCTCCTGGTACAATTCACATTCCAGGGCCTAAATATCACTTATTGGACACTTATCAGATCGCGTCTTTGATAATTCACACTACGTGATTGTCACTCGCGTGAACGAGCATCGATTTGCCTCCGATTTCGGGCATTTGTTGGGCGATTTTGCAAAACCTGTCGGCGAGTGAAAAATCGTGCAGTGTGAACTCGGCATTATGCAATAACTTCCAATAGCCTCCAGTAAAACAGCAAAGTTATAACTTTATTTATATATTAAATGTGTATCAGTGAACAAATACAAGCGTGCTTTGAAAATGTGTATACACAACAAACAGGTGTTTGTGAAACATACTATTTCTAAACATATAATAATAAATACAAATAATTAAAAAATTAGAAACTAAGACAGTGTGCTTTAAAGCAAACAGAAAAGCTGTATTGTCCATCTACTTTCTCTGGACAAGAGCTGTTGCCAAATTTGTGAAGACCGAAGCAAAAGCCTCAGCTTCCTTCTCTCTCTGAGACATCTCTTCCCGTCTGAGTTGTGCCTCAATATCCAGCTCCTCTCTTCTCATCATCATTTCTTTGTTCATTTCTTCTCTTCTTAACTCAAGCTCTTCTTCCAGCTGTTGCTGTGTTATGTCGCGCAAACAGAAAAAAAAAAAATACATGAACAATAAGCTCCACATCTGGGATGTACTCTGAATTCAGGTATTGTGAGATCTGTAAGGTTTGATCAATCTATTTAGCAGGTACATTACACTCCAAATTACCTGGTCTGGTCCTTTGTGGAATGTGATGTCATCCCCCTCTGATTACTGTAATGTCTTGGGGACTGTCGTGTCTTTGTAATAAACATACATTTAGGCATAATTATTTACTGACAACAAACATACAAATATGCAATAATTCTTTGGTGGAATCTGTTTATAGTAGCATACCAGGTGTAGATGTTAGCAGCGAAGGTGTAGACGGTCCTTGCTCAACTTCAGACTCCAAGAAATCGCTCTGAGATTCCAATTCTAACACAAAAAAAAATACAAAATCAAAAATAAATACATAAATAAGTACACATGCATGTCAGTCACTAGCAATATTTTATCTGTTTTGCATGTTACGTTGGGTTGCTAGCAAGGTAAATTAACTCACCGACTGTTGTAGCTGCCATAGTATCCCGAGTGGTCTCTCCACTAATGGAGGGACGGTGACCCAGCACACTGTCCATAATGTCAAATCACGGAAAGGACCTTCTCTGGGCACCGCTTTGTCCATTGTGTGTTTTTATGGCTTTATACTGCACCCG